GGGGGGGGGGGGGGGGGGGGGATATCGTGTGGATTTTCCTGACTGAAAGGTTATCCTGTACTCGAATTCAGTAAGGAGATCGGATCTCGTTCAATTTGGAAATAATTTGCTCTCTTTCGTTTACAGACTCTTTCAAACACAAACTCGTGCAAATTATTTCCAAATTGCACTCGAAACTATATTATTGCCTATACTTATAGGCACTATATGTTTGGAGAATACTTACATGAAATCCTTAATGTTTATGGCAGCCAAATATGGTACACCTAAGTATGCAGCTTCTAACTAGAAATAAATAAAATAAACTAATGATAATAATGACCATGCAGCGAACGAACGGACGAACGGACGAACGAACAGACGGGCAAAAACGAATATACTCTACTTACTATTTTGATGCACTTCTGTTTAAGATCATTGTAGCCTACTGACTTTACATCCTGAAGGTCATCCTGCCATTCTTGGTTTGTTATTCTAAACTGCCCGGTAAACGCTTCCTTAAAAACTAAAGTAGAAACGAAAAACAGTCAAATATCGCAAAATGGGTTACGGCAAATTCATCTGATCAGGACTTGATCAGCTCAAGCTAGTGAAATTTGTAATTTTCATTATCATTACTCACGTATTTGTTGTCTGTAAAAATACAATGTCCTTTCTCGTACACCAACGCTATTTTCAGCCTTACATACAATGCTAGCACTGTCCACATCATTCTGGATGACAACGAATACTAAATACTGCTTTCTGGTTAATTCTGCATCATGGCTGGTGATGGTAGTCAATATATTCGGTACACAAGGATTGCAAGACAGGGATGTGTTACTGGGATATGCGTTGATACTAAGGTTGAACAATACCAGTGAATTGGACTGACTGTAGCTCTTGTTACTAGATCCAATCACTTCCAGAGGATCTATGTCTGTTAAGGAGGAAACAAAATAATACATGAATCAATTATAATGACTCTTTCTGGTTACTAGTAAACGCTCACTACAGCATACAAGTACTTCAGTGATCATACATCACTACCAGTTCAGATTTTATCTTTGCATTCATGCAGACATGCTGATAAACTGTAGAACCCTTATAGTGGAAAATAAGAAAACAGTAAAAAATGCGATTGGGCTTATTAGGCCACAGGAAACCTGGCTATATATATATTTGTTTGCTTCTTTTAGAAAAGTAACTTCGCTCTTTGTGGGCTTCCTGTGTTGTGATCGGTTTCCTATTACATAAGCTGTAATCAGATCTACGCTGTGATCAGATCGGCGCTGAAAACTGATAGCCGATTAAATTCAAATCAATAACCGTTGGTGTTTTGTTTCTTATGGGTTGCCTGTGATATGTAACGCACTTTCTAGTAAGCAGTCAGTGTTTACTAGAGAGTGCGTTACACCAATATATCTGCACTTAATTTCCAAGACTGGTAAAAAAAGGAGAAGAAAATTCTACTCACACTGGACATTTAAGCTAAAATTGCACGTCATATCAGCAGAGCAGTTGAACCTATCACGTGCAGCCACTTGGTACATTCCTCCTTGGTAACGTGTAATCGATTTGATCGTCAAACTGTGCCCTACTTCTCGTAAAATGTTGACTGTGTTGTTCTTCCAAGTGAAACCCAAACGCACCATTTCAGAACTTATGAGGCGCAGAAACACTTCAGATCCCTCAACGACTGTTTTATTTGTAATCATCTCGTTGCCAATCTTGCACGTTTTGATCAAAGGTCCTTAAAAAGTGATAATATGGTTATTAAAAATGTGGAAACAGAGATATTGTTTTTTTTAAAGAATAGAATACGACTTAATTTGTATTCTGAATTATTGGCTGATCCGCGACCAAACTGCAAATAACTGTAATGGGCAAAGGACGGGATTATTATATGAAGGTAGTATTGTCGTGTACAGGTAACCAAGTACATCATAGGTTTCCGAACACACGAGTGGGAGTCCTCGCCTTTGAATTTGGATTTTCTCGCCAGATGTTTATTACAATGCCTATCCTAACCCTAACCCCAAACCTAACCATTGAATCACGAAGTGAATCGTTTGGTTGTTCCCTTTTTTCATATTTAAAACGATGCTTCATTAGTGTATGCACGAAAATATTTATTGTAGTATAATATGTGCTATCGTAAGGCATGACTACTAGTCAAACGAATTTGCATATCGAAATTTGAATTTAAAAATAATTCCCCTGACAAATCCCGTACAAGGCAATATATCCTACATGAAGACAGGTCACATAAAATTGCTCGTTCTTTAACAGAGGCATTAGGCATTTAGAAAGAGCCCATGATAGCTTTCAATGTGATCGTAACTTGTCTGACAGGGCTCAAAACCGAGTCAGCGACGTCTGTAAAGTTCAAATTTTACATTTTCGCAAGAACAGCAACAGCAACAACATCAACAACAACAAACATGTAGCGTCATATGATGAAAAGCAATGGAAAGTTATTTACCTCTTACTGTAACACTTTTGCTCTTATTTGGTCCAACACCAACTGTATTGCTTGATACACAAGTGAAAGTGTAGTTTCCATTCTCAGCAAGTTTAACAACAAAGACACCGTTACCATTACTACCATTAAACACGTTATTACGATACAAGGAGTAGACTGGGGCGGGTTTAGCGTCTGATGTGCAGCTGATGTTTATCGACTCTCCTGTACAGAAGTCCTTCTTGTCAGGTGTAATCTTGATACCTGTATTCTCAGGTTTATCTGAGGAAAATAAATATATTTTGATAATTTACACCCCTCTCTTTTTTCTCTTTTCAGGAAAAATCATAATGCTGGTATTTTCTGGCTAATGATATTAATGCAAAGCGTTGTTGTATCATATTTAGTTTATCTCGCAGGGTCACCTGGTAATAACCTGCATCCGTGCGGTTTATTGAACCGAATGTTAATTGCCGTGTATCATTCCTGACAGACAGACTGTCCTTTACTTTGACCCACTGGTACATGTAGTATGATTCATTCCCAGATACGTTACACTGCAGAACTACTTTATCTCCTTCCTTTACTTCGCTGTATATACATGTACAACCAAGTATCTGAAGATGCGTTAAACTTCCCCAAAGGCAAAGACTTCCATGAGTACAACACACGTAACAAAGATCT